CTGTTCCTGTACCACAAGGACACACTGTTCAGGAATATTACAATCAGTTTTGAATATTAACCAAAGGATTTCTATAAATGCCAAATACATATTGCGGATGTCCCATCTGTTCTTAGTTTCATAAGAGTTATTAATATTGAATGTGGCAGTTGTTAACTATGAATTCAGTGAAATAATTGTATGATTTCTCATTATTTCTAAAACATTAAATAGTGAACAATCTTGATTGATAATTTTAAATGTTAACAACCTGATATATTTGAATTAAAACCCCTATAGATCATAATATATTTTTCTGCTTTCCTTATCACTGAATTTGGCTTTTCACTGTCTGATGTAGGATTTTTCTGCAATATGTTAATGATCTTTTCAGTTTGGGGACTGAAGACTGCTATTCTCATGAGTTAAGTGGTTTCACATTTTTCCAATTCTAGGCCATGCCATTATTTCTTCTCATAATGTTGAAATAATTTACCAAATGAAACAGTTTAGGTTGATGTTACCTTATTTAAAGATTTTTTTTTAATGTCAGACTTTTAAATTTTTCTTAATGTGTCTTTGTTGATATCACAAATGTAACATGAGGCTTCTGGAACACAATAGATAACTTATTATTTACTTTCGGTCTCATAATAAATGTGTAGTTTCCAGGAACATCAATTTCTTACTTATGGTAATGAGACAGAAGACAAGGGGTTACTGTACACATACATATGGAGTCAGTATTTTAGGTGATAAAGTGGTACATGTGTATAAAGAGCAGAGGAAAATAGCTGTCCCCTCCTCTTAGGATCCCAGGTTTAGGGACATAAGAAATACTGTTTCCAGTTTTACAACCCAAGGAAGCCTCCAGAAACTCCACTCCCTACCCCCCTGAAATATAAATTTTGTCTGGGGAGGTAAATCTCTCTGGAAGTCTATCCCTATCTAACCAGTCATAAATTATTCTCCAAGTCTCATTCTTTTAGCTTAGATCTCAAGTTTCTTTAAGGGTTGTTCAAAAAGTCCTCGCTGGGCAGAAACAGAAAATTGTTTTATTTGTAGTCTTCCCCACTGCCAGTGCCACTCATTTTATTTCTTTATAGGGACTTTGGGCTACTTTTTTGGGCTACTTTTTCTACCTACATGCCATTCCAAGTTTATTTTGTTTTACTCTTTAACCATAAAGCTCTATCTTAGAAAGTCAGGTGTCTTCCTTCTCAAGTTTTCCACTGACCTTTAACCTGATCCAAGAGGCACAGCAGAATATATTAGTAGTTTGCTTAGACTTTGCCTTGACCTGCAAGGAGGTCCATGGCATACTCTGTCATCCATTTCATGCTGGCCAGTCAGTGGAAACCAACTAAATGCCTTCTAAATTAACACAGGGTCATGAATGAATCTGTTCAGGGAAAAGTTCTATAGCCTTTTTAATGGAATAACCACACTGTAGTGAAAACTGCTCACTGAGCACATCTGAAGTCTGATACGCTATAGAGGTGTTTCTTAAAATGTTTTTGATGACTGCCTTTTACATGCACAAAAAGTACAATCCAAAGGGCACAAGTGATACCTGTGGAAATAATGATTTCTTCAATTATTAGGAGGCCTCCTAATTTGGTTCACTATTCCAGTTCAAGTAATTCAGTTTAGTCCTTGTTTCATAGGGCAATCCAAACACTCCTTGTGCAAAGCACCAATTAGTTCACCACCCCCCCCGCCCCCCATAACCCTCCACTTCTCCCTCCCTGTGAAAACAATGCCTAGATATTTATTACACATGGAAAAGGTAAGGGCTGCTATTTCCTGGTCAGGCATCTGGTAGGAATGGTAGAAGCAACTGCCGGTTTTGAATATAATTTTCAGTTTAGGTTTAAGCAGCCTGGGTAGCTGTTTAGCAGGGAGGGGTTTGGATTTCTTCCATTGTTGTAAAGTCTGAATCTTTTTGGTAATTTCATATTGTTTTCCATTCATTCTGTATTGTTCCAGACCTTTTGTCTGGGAAGGATATGAGAGATATCAAAGCCTTTTAACAACACTTTCATGCCAACTTAAACAGAATTAAGTTTAATCCCCTAAATTGTCTTTTTGCCAAGCTCTGGCATGGCATTTCTGCTAGAATGAGGCACCTGATACCAAGGAGTATGGTTGGAGTGAGAACTTGAGTTTTCAAAACAGGTCTGTATTTGAGCTGGGTATATAGCTCAGTGGTTTAGTGTTTGCCTCATATGCATGAGGCCCTGAGTTCACATCCCTCCCCCCAAAAAACCAAAAACAAATAGGTCTGTTATGGTCCTCCCAAACACAGATATGCCCCTTTTATCCATCTCATTTCAGTAAGTAGCCTGGAGACATCCTTCCGGAACAACAGCATTTAGTAATCAGACTGCCTTGCTAAGGTATGTGTACCAAGAAAAAGATGAGGGATGTAGGAACAGATCCATTCTTGTTGAGTTGGCAGTGATGATGTAACTCCTGAAGGTGTTGAGTTCAGATTTGATTTTCTCCCCAGAAATGGGTGGGCTTCTGCTTCCTAATGTGTGGCTTTTCCCCACCTTAACCTTCCACAGGAATCACAAGGCAAGAATGAATTTGACTTCTGTAATCTTGGGGTTAGCTCTTGCATCTGAACAAGCTCTTTCAATAACTTTGAGTGGCCCAGACGGGCTCAGCCTCCATGCAGTTTCCGTGGCTCAGAGTGCCACAGTGGTGCCTTTCAACAGTGAGTCCAGAGTTCTTCCACTGTGCAGGGTGACCAAACCTGCTTCAGCTTACTAAAGACCATATCAGAGGGCAGGCAGTTTGAATGAGTAGCTGCTGAGATGCTGTCCAGATAAAAAAGGTGTTATTGTAGAGTTTTCTTTTTTAAAACTTCTTTCCACCTTGTCGTGATGAAAAGGTACAGTGACTAGAGAATTCCCATCTTGTAATGTTCAGGCAGGGATTTAATACAAGCTCACAAACAAGATCAATGTTACTTTTCTCTTTTTCTTTTTAAATTTTATTTTATGTATTACACTTAAAGAAAAATTGCAAAATATGATAGGAAAAACCTTTCATATGGTGTAGATTCACCAGTAGTTTTTTTTAAAATAAATTTAATTTAATTATTTTAATTTTTCAACATTACTTTTCTTAAAAAGGCAACTTCCAAAGTGTATCTCTATATGATGACTGTCTCCCTGGTCATGCTGTCTCCTTTGCATATTGCCTTGCCTAGGCAAAAATCATTTCTAAGCCTTCTCTTTTAGGTCCCATGAAATACCTGGATATTGTCATTGAGCATTAATTTTTTTTGCATTGATGGGGATCAAACCAGGGGCCTTGCACATGCAAGGCAAGTGCTCTGTCACTGAACTATACAACTAGTTTTAAAATGTACTATTTTAACCTTTTTTGATGGTACTGGAGTTTGAACTTGGGGCCTTGTACTTGCTAGGTCAGTCATACCTCTAGCTTTTTTTTTTGTTTTTTTTTTTTGCCCAAGCTGGCCTCAGACCTCAATCCTCCTAACTATGCCTTATGAGTTTTTGTTTTTGTTTTTTTCTTGGTGCTAGGGATTGAACTCAGGGCCTTAAGCATGTGCTTTACTTCTTAGCCAGACTTTTAGCACTAATTTTTAATGTAAATCAATGAAGTAATTGGTTCAGGAGTGAAGAGCATGCAAGAGGAAACTAAGAGGTAGTAAGACCCTAAGGAGATATCCTATGAGCTGTCTGTTAAGTCCTAAGAAATAATTGGGGGAAAAAGAATGAAACCACTGTAGTAATCAAAGTTCAATTTGGAGAAACAGGCAGAAAAGACTTTGCTGAAAATGCAGTGGAAAATGTGGAGGTTGGAAGTGAAAAACCTGGGCAAAGAGCAAATAATTTGGAAATAGTGCTTGATGTAGAATAAGTGCTTCTTATTCTTATTAATTATGAAGACCCCATTGAGTACTTTAGATTACTTCTTCATGTATGTGTGCACATCAAGAAATTTTCCACACACATTAGTTTACCAAGACTTCTTTCCCACTATAATTTTAATCCTCCAAAGAGAAAGGTCTCGTTCACTCATAGTCTCATATTACATTACTAATGATTTTGCTTGACTAAGAAGCCAGATACGGGAAGTTCTTTCATAATAATCAAGTCAGAAAGCATTACCTCAAATACTTTCCAGATACACTGGTCAGGTAATTGAGTTGTAGATTCTGAGTTGTCAACAGGAAGACTGAAAAACCTTGTCTGTTTTTTCTTCTTAACAGCAGTCACACATACACTTCAACAAGAAGACTAAAAACTTCGCTGTTTCTTCTTAGCAACAGTAACACATGCTCATTTCAAAAAATATAGAATGTAAAGGCCAGGGTGTGGCTTAGGTGGTAGAGCATCTGCCTAGCAAGCCCAGCATCCCAAGTTCAAACTCCAATACAATTGAAAAAAATTATTGTAGAATATGAAAGCCACTGTAGGTGATCCACCTCATACATGCACATATCAAGCTCAAAGAAGAACAGGAAACATTGGATTTTATGTAGATTTTTAGTAACATTTAACCATTATTACAAGCATTAAATACATTTTTTCTATACATGCTTTTTGGAAATTTTTCCCCCATATTGGTAGGCTTTTAAAAACAGAATTATTTAAAAATAAATTACATTCAACTGATTTTCAATATGAAGTCTAAAATTTAGTGTTTGGCAAAGGTAATTCTGATTAACATTTGTAAAACACTGTTGATTTAATATATATACAGCATTGAAAGAAAATCATAGGTAGAGTAATACCTACCTGAAACATGGTTGTTTAAACAAAAGCAAAGAATATTAATGTTAACTTAAAATGCAGCTCATATTTGTGTTAAAATGAATTATGCAACAGTCCTGACACGTTTTCAGTCAAAGAAGCTGAAAGTGTAGGCAGGGGGAAGGCACCTGTTAGAAACATTGTTGGACTGCATCTAACAAAATGATAAGAATGTTTAGTATGAGATTGTGAATGAGAAAGAGCAATTTATGAGGGACAAACAGTTGTGCTTGATAGAGAAAAATAAATTTATTCTAGCTTTGTAAAAGGATAGCTTGATTCAAACCTGAATTCAGATGTAAAAATATATTTATTTCAGTGAACATTGTAAAAAAAAGTGCTGCTAGGACCTAGATAATATTCTAGTAGTAAAGGCATGCATAACTGAAAAAAAGTGTTAGGATAAAGGTAGACAAGACTTCTGCAGCTGAACTTACAATGCCCCTAGGGTGGCATGATACACAAGAAATGTGGAGACATACATATAAGAGCACAACTAGGGACTGATGTTAAATCAGGTGAGATTCATTTGGAGCAAAGTCAGAAAGCACTGAAAGAGTCTGGTAGTCTGGGATCTCCAGTGCTGCAGAGGTAAAGGAAAGCACTGTAACTAGAACAGAACTGTAGGTCTGACCCCAGTGGCAACTCTTGTTGCAAATTTTTATTCATAGTGAATCAGAGCTAGACACAGAATTGAAACCTAGGATATAGGACTGTTTCTTTATGAATTAGAACTCTCAGAAATTTGATTTGTTGCTGGATGTAGAGTGGAAAAGAGGAATAAGTGGGAAGTGTGCACTGTGTTATCATAAGCTAATGCTTTTTCTCCTAAATGTTTTCGTCAACTAATCTTCTTTATCACTGTATTTATATTTCAGAATTAATTGATACCAGTAGAGAGTACTCAGAAAAGAAGTTCAGTGGGTTTAACAGAGGTGAAAAATGGCACTGTGATGATAAGCATGAAGGAATTCATTCTGAAGAGAAATCTTGTAGGTATAATAAAAGTGAAAACAGCTTCTGTGTTATGAAGACCTTGTTCAGCACCAGAAAATTCAAATTTGGAGTAACCATTTGAATACAATGAATGTCAGAAAGCTTTCCATGAGAATTAACTCTTCCTTATGCATAAGAGAGGTTACACAAGACAGAAAACTTGTGAATGTACTGAATATAAGAAAATCTTTTGTGACATGTTGTCTCTTACTGCTCATGGAGATGTCCAAAAAATAATGCCTATGAATTTAATGAAAGTAGAGAAAATTGTCTTGAGCAATCCATTCTCTTTGAACACTGAACTGCTTATCCCATCAGCCAGAAGACAAAACTCAGTCCAATTCAGAGAAGACACTCAATGGACAGTATAATTGAATATAATTAATATGGAATGTTTTTCAGTGAAAAGTCAGTCCTTGCTGTACAATAGAGGACAAACACAGGAGACCAGCCCTATCAATGTCATGAATGTGGAAAAACCTTCAACCAGAAGTTAGCCCACACAAGGCATCAAAGAACACACAGAGAGGGGAAATCTATGAATGTCATGAATGTGGGGAAATCTACAAGATTTCTGACGTTATTAAACACCAGAGAATTCACACAGGGGAGAAACTTTGTGGATGTCATGAATGTGGTAAATCCTTCAGTGAGAAGTCAACCCTCACTCAACATCAGAGAATACACACAGGGGAGAAACTATATGAGTGTCAAGAATGTGGGAAAGCCTTATCATTTAAGTCAGTCTTTACTATATATCAGAAAACTCACAAAAGTGAAAAGCCGAATGCTGTGATTGTGGGAAAGCCTTTCTCAGAATGTCTGACCTAATTAAACATCAAAGAACTCACACTGGGGAAAAGCCTTATGAAAGTAATGAATGTGGGAAATACTTCTCTGAGAAATCAACTCTTACTAAATATCTAAGAATTCACACAGGTAAGAAACCCTATGAATATACTGAACGTGGAAAACTTTTCTGCTACTACTCAGGTTTCACAGAACATCAGAGAAGACATACAAGGGAGAAACCTTTTGGATATAATGAATGTGGGAAACCTTCCATCAGAAGTCAGCTTTAATTGCTCATCAGAGAACTCACATAGGACAGAAACCCTATATTTGTTTTTTTTTTATTGTTTTATTATTCATATGTGCATACAAGGCTTGGGTCATTTCTCCCCCCTGCCCCCACCCCCTCCCTTACCACCCACTCTGCCCCCTCCCTCTCCCCCCCTCAATACCCAGCATAAACTATTTTGCCCTTATCTCTAATTTTGTTGAAGAGAGAGTATAGGCAATAATAGGAAGGAACAAGTGTTCCTGATTGAGATAAGGATAACTATACAGGGAGTTGACTCACATTAATTTCTTGTACGTGTGTGTTGCCTTCTAGGTTAATTCTTTTTGATCTAACCTTTTCTCTAGTTCCTGGTCCCCTTTTCCTATTGGCCTCAGTTGCTTTTAAGGTATCTGCTTTAGTTTCTCTGCATTAAGGGCAACAAATGCTAGCTAGTTTTTTAGGTGTCTTACCTATCCTCACCCCTCCCTTATGTGTTCTCGCTTTTATCATGTGCTCAAAGTCCAATCCCATTGTTGTGTTTGCCCTTGATCTAATGTCCACATATGAGAGAGAACATACGATTTTTGGTCTTTTGGGCCAGGCTAACTTCACTCAGAATGATGTTCTCCAATTCCATCCATTTACCAGCGAATGATAACATTTCGTTCTTCTTCATGCTGCATAAAATTTCATTGTGTATAGATACCACATTTTCTTAATCCATTCGTCAGTGCTCGGGCATCTTGGCTGTTTCCATAACTTGGCTATTGTGAATAGTGCCGCAATAAACATGGGTGTGCAGGTGCCTCTGGAGTAACCTGTGTCACAGTCTTTTGGGTATATCCCCAAGAGTAGAAACCCTATATTTGTAACGAATGTGGAAAATCATTCTGTGTGAAGTCAGAACTCATTGCACATCATAGAATACATACAGGGGAGAAACCCTATGAATGTAGTGTTTGTGGGAAGTCATTCTATGTTAAGTTAAAACTCACTGTACATAAGAGAACACACTTGGGGAGAGACCCTCTAAATGTAGTAATTGAGGGAAAACACTCTCAGAAAACATGTATTAGTATAATGGATATTGAGAACATCTTTGGCCTAATGTCACTTCTCAAAATATAGAACACTTAGGAGAAAACAAAATGATGATCTTGAGTATTTAAAGATTTTCTGCCAGAATTTGGACCATGCATAATATATTTTTAAAAAGCTCAGTCTTATAAACCTATTGATGAGTAAACAAAAATCTTTTGCAAAGCATCACCTCTTGAGATATTTTCTTAAGGAAAGAGACCTTGGTTAACATCCCTAAGGTAGAGAAGACATCATTCCCAGGCCAGAAAAAATGCACAAACTATAGGAAAACATTTATTATTAGATGACATTTTATTGGACATATGGATTAAGAGGGAGCTCTGGGAACATTAGCTAGTAAATGCTAGAGAAAATGTATGGAAGCTTTAAGTCAAAATCCAAATTTATTATTCATCAGAGATGTTGAATTGGAGGGTATAGTATTATAGAAAATGTGAAGAAGTTTTTCATTTAATAATAGAATTTTACAATGTTAAAATACAATTTGGCCATTGGTTGGACTACTGTTCCTCCCTGTTTACGACATAGGTCTGAAAACATATCAGAGGAGCAAGTGGTCATAAGCAAGTTAAAGGTTTATTGCTCTGCCTGTGCAAAACAATGGCAGATTCTTATCAAGGAGACTCACCAATAAGAGGGCACCAAAATGTTCACGGAGAGACAGATGGGTATTCTGGGAACATATGGTAGGACACAAGCCTGCCAGCAGGATTCTTTTTTGCAGTACTGGGGTTTGAACTCAGTGACTACACCTCTAGTCACTCCACCAGCCCTATTTAGTGAAGGTCTTTTTTTTTTTTCAGATGGGTCTCATGAATTATTTGTTCAGGGTGGCTTTGAACTGTGATCCTTCTAATTTCTGCCTCCTGAGTAGGGTTCCAGGTATGAGCCGGCAGCACCTGGCTAGGATATTTTACTTTTATTAATTCTGAGAGACTTATTTTGAAAGACTCATCCTTGGAAATGGAGGATTAAAGGGCAAGGTGGGTTGCTTGTCTAAACTTACAGGCATAATTAAAGTGAGTCTGAAGTATCACTGCTTCCTTCACTGGCATGTGTCTTAACAGTTTAGCCAGAACTTTCTGCTGTTATGACAGGCCAGGCATGATGGTACAGGTCTGTAATCCCAGCACTTGGGAGGCTGAGACAAGAGAACTGAGTTTGAGGCCAGCTTGGGCTACAAAGCAAAACTCTGTCTCAAAAAAAAAAATACCCACAATGAATCATCTGTAGATTCTAAACCTGTTAAATTTGGAACTTTAAGAAAACACAGATAGATTCTGCTCCTAGGTTGTATTTAGTAGTTTGGAGCCAATCAGTGTGCCAATTGGGAACAACCAGAAAAATCACACAAAAAATTAAAGTGTAACTGATTGTTGTAGAGCAAAGAGCAAAGGTAAAAGTGGTTATTTTGTGGCAAAGAGACCTGGCATACAACAGTATGATTGGTGATCAAAGTTCATCTCACCATGCAGCTCCAGTGAGATGCACTGAGAAGACACAGCATTGTTTGAGTGGTGCTCTTAACAAATCATAGCTGGAGTTTGCTTATGAGGAAACATCAGATGAACCTATTTGAAAAATAATCTTACAGAATGTAAAGAATTTTTCCTTTAAAACTATCAACAAAAGGAAAATCCTGAGAACCTATTCTAGATTGGAGGAGACTAAAGGTATTTAACAACAAATGAAAATAGACATTGTTAAAATAGGTGGCAAAATTCAGGGTGTGAAGATTGGATGGGAGTGCTTATCATTGTTTATTTCCTAACTTGGATTATAGTTGAGGAGTTCTACAGATTAATGCCTTGTTTTTGGAAAGCATACACTAGATTATAAAGAGTAATGAAGCCTCATGTCTGCAGCTTATTTTCAAATGCTTTGGGGAAAATGTCCTGTGTGTGTGTGTGTGTGAGTGTGTATGAGAGAGAGAGAGAGAGAGAGAGAGAGAGAGAGAGAGAGAATGAATGCAGGCACAGTTGGAGGAATCTGAAAGGGAGTCTTTTGCACTATGTAACTTCTTTCCTCCGAGTCTGAAATCCTTTCATAATCCTAATTTAATTAATATAATCTACCACATTTATAGTAAAAGGGAGTGAAATTATATAACTATTTCAATAGATGCAGAAACAAAATATTTGATAAAATGTTATGCCTGGGTATGATTTTTTAAAAATAGAAGAAAACTTCAGAAATAGTAAATAAAACCAACCTGAAACAAACATCATATTTAATAGGTAAATAAGTTTTGTGTATACTTAAAGTATATATGATGATATAACTTATATGTAAAATGGATGCTGTATGAAAACTTAAGCTTCCATTATCTTGGTTATCCACTTCTCCGTTGTGGCAAGAGTGGCTATAATCTCAGCAAAAATCTTGAATACAGTAACTGTAGCCCCATGATGTACTTTATAGTACCACTTGTACTTCCTAAATACTTGTACTTGCTATTTTGTGTTATTTGTGCTATAGCCATCCATTTCCTTCTCTGCCCCTGCTCTGGTTAATCACTCTTTTATTCCCTATATTATATATTCAACCTATGTAAAAATTCCACATGTGAGATTATGCAATATTTTTTTCTGTGTCTGTTTCACTTAGCATAATGTCCTCCAGGTCCAGCCACGTTATGGCAAATGACAGGATTCCTTTTTTAAGGCTGAATAATATTGCGTGTGTGTGTGTGTGTACACATATCACCGTCTTATCAACTGATGAATGCATGGGTTTCCATACTTTGACTATTGTGAATAATGCAGAAGTGAACTTGCCTGAGCAGATCTTTATAAGATGGTAATTTCATTTTCATTGGGTATATCCAGAAGAGGGTTGCTGAATCAACAGATAAGTATTGAGATATTTCTTCCTGATAGTAAAAATGAGATAGGAACCACTTCTATTCAACATTGGACTGAATGTTCTAGTTAGGTTATTAAGGCAAGAAAAAGAAATTGAAATCCTAAAAACTGAGAAGATTGAAGTCCAATTGATTTGATGATGTCACTGTATACATACTAAAAAGAATCTATGGAGAATTTATTAGAAATAAGTGAATTTAGCAAGATTTATTATTAGAAAATTATATATATACATATTTGTGTGTGTGTGTGTGTGTGTGTGTGTGTGTGTTGGAAGTTAAATGATGTCAGGGCTTTGTATCCTCTTGGGTTAGACTAATAGGGACTAAGTTTACCTTTCTGCCTGAAACAATAGGAAATTGTAAAAATTGACAAGATAGAGGAAACAGTTATTTCAAGCTACTGGGCATCAGGCAATGACCACTGTACATAATATGTTCACTGTCATTGTTGTGATGGTTATACAAGTTAATTAAGTTTTATCAAGTTCTATATAGAGAGAATTTGATAAAATATATATACATATATACTTTATGTATACTTTAAGTACTATACTATATTGCTATTAAATTTATAATACATTAGCCTAAAACATTAAATTATAGAAGTCTTAAATAATTTAGCACAAAACTTGGGAGATTTTGAATGCTAAAATAAATGAAAGATGTTCTGTTTTTCTAAGTTTGAAGACTCATTTTCCCCCAAACTGGTAGATTCATAATCACCAAGCAGTAGATTTGGTTGGAAATTAAATCTGAATTTAAAATGTAAACATAAATGCAAATAACCTATGAAGAGAATCTGAAAATAACAAAATATAGCTGTATGACTGAGGTTGCCAGGTAACAAACAAGCCTTATTATAAAGCTGTACTTACTTACTAAGATGGTGCGATACAGGCACAAAGATGAACAATGTCCAGAAATGTTTAACATTGGTGCATGATAAAAAGGAAACTGCAGTATTGTGGTAAAAAGGTGATTTTCTTGATCGTGGTCCTGGGTTATTTGGATCACCATATGGAAAAAAGAAACATTGATTCTAACCACACCACCATATACACAAAGATCAACTTCATATTAATTGCATATTTAAAATGTCAAAAATAGATATGTTTTTCCTTTGGAAAAAATGTGAATATGACTATGACACCTTAAACAAGAAACAAACTAATCATAGATAAATTTGGCTATGTTAGCATTGTGAGCTATGTGCTTGAAAAAAATGAACACAGTATTGCTTTGCATTGTGTGAAGGTAATATCCTCCTGATGCGTTTACATGAGAAGCCTACTTTGGTATGAATTGTATAACCCAAGCATGACAGGGACTTCTTACATTTGTACTATGATCCTGCCTATGTTGTATTTTCCTCAAGTAGGCATGACTATAGACTGATACACTTACTTCATAGGGTTGTCATGGGAATAATTGATCAGCTATGAGGTCCAACACATGAGCTATGTAGGTATTAGCTATTATTTCCTGAGTTCACTTTCAACAAACTAGATAGGTTCTTACCAACTCTTTGTTATCCAGAACCCATTTTTTCCATAATGACAAAGCCCTAATTTGCATTTTTCCACCTACCTCTAGAAGGTTCAGAGATAATCCTCATTAGACTAAGCCAATCAGAAAACGTTAGGAATTTGTTTGGGATTGACACATGTCCTAGTTCTAGCTACAGTTGTAGACGTGTTCTGGAAACTTCTGGACTGAAGGGGACAAAAAAATAAAAAAATTGAGTTTAAGAGGATGTCTTTGGGCTTCCCACTCTGGCAATTCTGCAACATGACTTCTAGTTACAGAAGAAAATTTGCTTCATTCAGTTGAGATGCAGCTGTTTCTTAGAGCCAGATGCATCCTATTATAATTTTTATGTGTGTCAAATATGTTACATGCACAGTTGGGGGGTTAATTTATTCTGGTAATTTGCAGATAGTCTCCATTGTAAATTCCATAAAATGAGCCTAAGCATCAGAAATAGTTATTCTTGTTTCCTACTTTGAAAGAAAACATGCATGTATTTCATTGTATGAGAAATTACATCTCTGGCTGGGGCTGTAGCTCAGTGTGCTTGTCTAGCATGTGCATGATCCTGTGATCAATCCCCAGTACTGCAAAAAATAAAGAAAGGGAAGGAGGGAGGGAAGGAAAAACAAAGAGAAAAATTATGTCTCAGGAGTTGACATGTTGGTTAGATTTCCTTTTCCATTCTTTACCTAAAATTTAACAGGTAACTAATTTCTTATTCTAGGTTGTTGGAAATGATGAGCTTAACTTTTTTCAAACTCCTAATGATTAAAAATGCTATTACTGTCATCTGTAGTGACTATAAATCATGTTAATATTGAGCCACAAAAAGACATGAGAGGCAGAAAGGGTGTTCAAATTCAGGCAGTGCTAGCTCCTTGGTTGTGTTCACATTGAGGGCCATTCTATCTGTTTTTCCTCTGTTTTGGATATTGCATGAGTAAAATTTTTAAATTCATTTATTCACATGTGCATACATTGTTTGGGTCATTTCTCCCTCCTGCCCACCCCCACTCTCTCCTTCTATCCCCCCTCGCTTCCAGGCAGAACCTGTTCTGCCCTTATCTCTAATTTTGTTGA